GGAATAGGTCAGAATTCACCTGGAGCAGTGATACGGTGAAGCAGCAGGAACACATTGGCAACGGTTGGGCAAGGGTTTCATGTGTGCATAAAGCAGGCAAGAAAGCAAACCCATCTCCATACATAAGTGAGCATGGATGGAGAGCAGCATCATGCAGAAGGCTTGCAGGCAGTGGTCCCTCTAAGCTGTGTGGCCGTCCAGCTTTGCAGGTGATTCCTCAGCCCCACCCACTCAGAGCTGACCTACTGGGCAGGGCTGATGAATCACCTGTACAGCTGCACAGCTTAGAGGGAACACTGCTTGCAGGATCAAGCCCCTTTTAAATCTCAGTCAGTGTCTGGCCTGTTTTACTATGGGCTGGACTACACTACAGGGGTGATCGATCTAAGTTATGCAACTTCAGCTTTGTGAAAACCATAGAAGTCAGTGTACTTAGATCTATGTGCCACGGTATCTTCACTGCGGTGTGTTACCAGGCAAGGCTCTCTCATTGAGGTGGAGTACCGGAATCAAGCTGAGAACAATTGGCAATCAATTTATCATGTCTATACTAGACTCAATAAATCGACCTCTGCTGGCTCGATCGCTGCCCATTGATCCATCCAGCAATGTAGATATAGCCTGTATATCCCTCACCATCCCATATTTGATATACTGCAGCTGCCTGCATGCACAGTCACTGCATTGTGTGTGTTCAGCTCCATACTCAGCAGAGCGCTTTGGAATACCTGGACCCTCCAAAGAGCTAGAGAAAACTTGGCTCGGCCTAGTTGATCTTAGTAACTCTGGCTTGCATTTCGTTTCACGACCAATCCCCGGCACTGGATGAATTGTTCTTTCTGAAACAGCACTCTCTGAGACTCCCAGCAGTGTTGCTTCGGTAAAGGGCTCGTGGGGTTGCTCCTGTGCCCACCATAAAATTTAATTTTTCCTCTAAAATATCAGAAGAAAATAAAGCAAAATTCAGGTTAAAAATCCCCCCAACAAATGGAGCCTGCTTATACCCATAAGAAGCAAAGTGGACTCACAAAACCGGTTCAGGAATTAATAGCCTTTCCTGTGGGGCCGGCAGCATCTTTGAGTTCCTAGGGGCAACATACCTGTTTTCACTCCCACTTTGTTTCCCTAAAAGGAGCAGAACAGAGAGAGTGTTTTGGCTGCTCAGGGAATGGCGTTCCAGACCCACAGACCTGGGGCAGAATGATGCCATTCCTAGCCCCCGACACTGGGGTGCATGTCGTCTGACCCTCAGCTCCACACATTGTGAGAGAGGAAGTCTGGCTCACAAGAGCACAAGTCTCCCTTAAGTCATCAAGGGTACATCTAGACTACAGGCTTTTGTCGACAGAAGTTTTGTCGACAGGTACTGTCGACAAAACTTCTGTTGACAGAGAGAGTCTAGACTATATCCAGTTCTATCAACAAAGCAAGCCACTTTGTCTACATGACAGTGTAGATGCAATAACGCCTTCTGTCGACAGAACTCTGTCAACAAAAGGCGTTATTCCTCACAGAATGAGCTTTACAGCTGTCGACAAAACTGCCGAGTTCTGTCAACGTTATGTCGACAGAACTCAGTGGCAGTGTAGACACAGGTATAGTTTTGTCGACAAAAGTCCACTTTTGCCGACAAAACCCTGTAGTCTAGACACACCCAAAGAAACAATAAAATAACCCTGTCTCTTCAGTGCCCTTTAAGGGCCTTGTAACGAGGTGCCCAGGGCTGTCGTGTTTGAAGGAATGCTCTTGAATCGAAGAAAGTGATTTCCCAGCTCATTCAGTGTTCCAGCCACTCCCGGAAAGCTTGCCTGCTAGGGGAGGACAAGGCTTGTTAAGTTTACATATGGGACGCGTGCTGTCTTTTTCCTGTCATTAGCTCCCCTCCTGCCCCTGGAGTCAGGTTTCGTTTCGCTCCAGGCACAGGCGCAAGAAGCAGGCCGGGGAGCGTTGCTTTTGTCTGGCTTTGTTTATTTCATGTTCATTCCTCTTTCCCAAATCCAGCGAATCAGGGGGAAAAGCTTGATTCAAAGTAAATAAGAAAAATAAAACTTCCTGGGGAAGGTAAACAGAGCAAATGTGCTCTCTGGAAGCAGGAGGGTGGGATGGGGCCCTGGAATGTGGGCTGGGGGGAGAGAGAAGAGGGGAGCAACAGATCTGGAAACTTCCAAGTGCTTTTGGCAGCATCTTTTGTTTGTGGCATTTGCTTTTGCTACCCCCTGGCCGGGAAGTGAGGAGCAGCAGTAACAAGAAGAGCAGGAAGGTGGAGAGTGAGCAGCATGGGGGTCCTAAGCCACTTCCTAGCAGACAGGTGTCTGCCCCTCCCCTGGCATCCCTCTCTGTGTGTGCTACAGCTTGCCCCGAGGGCCGCTGGGGAGCAGGCTGCCAGCAGATCTGCCCAGAGTGCGAGAACAACGCCAGCTGCGACCCTGCCTCCGGTGTCTGCCGCTGTCCGCCTGGGTTCCTTGGCCGCCGCTGCCAGGACGGTAAGGGGCTGCTGGGGCCGGGTGCGTTCTGCGTCTCCGCCAAGGCATGTGCCTGGTGGTCACTGGGGTCCTCACAGGCGAGGCCTGGAGTGTCCCACCCGGCTGGCTGAACAAGAAAGGGAGCTGAGCATGGAACACCCCAGAGTGCCGGGCCCTTGCTGGTATCCTCACAGCTCCTTCCTGCCAGCTGCAGCAGGCCCCTTCCAGAGGGAACGTGTGGACGCCCCAGGGGCTGTACCGGTGCCGCTGCAGTGCTCGCGCTGTGCTGGCATGGCCCCACGGGGGGGATGCAGCCTCCAGCTACTGTTGAGGGACGGGCACGCCCGTCGGCATCACTGCAGCTGGACTGGGTGCCAGTTTGGCAGAGCCACGTCACCTGGGACTGCGCGTCGCTCACGCACTAAATATTAAATGTAGCCTCGTCCCAGAAACCACGGCACCAAGGGGCTGGGCAGCTGGCCCCATCAGTTCCTCGCTCTGCATAGGCACCTGCCCTGGGACCTGGCAAGTCCTGTGGAGCTAAAGCTGAGCAGCTCACGGGTAAGAGGCTTAACCGTCCTTCCCCCCGCACATGGAAAGAAGCAGCACTGCAGGAAGAACGTGGCCCCTCCAGGCAGGTTTCCGGAGCCAGCCAGCCCAGGAGGGAGCCTCCGAGCTCAGGCATGCAAGGTTTTAAAAGCAGGTCGCTGGGGGCAGGGGGCCAAGGCGAAGGGCCCCGCTCGACAGCCCCGCTGGAAGTCAGGGCGTGTAACGCACACGCTGCCTCTCAGACACGGACCCGCCGCTCCGTTGCTATAGCAGCCGTTTGCGCTTCATCTCTCTCTCCCCCTCGCAGCGTGTCCAGCTGGCTGGTTTGGGCAAGGCTGCCAGACGCGATGCCGCTGTGGGAACGAGGGGCACTGTCACCCGGCGACGGGGAGATGCCGCTGCGCTCCTGGCTGGACTGGGGATACCTGCGGGAGAGGTAGGCTGCCTGGGTGTGTCCTGGGCGTTGTGGCGAGGTCGCCAGTGCTCCGTCTCGGTTCTGTGTCTTCTGTCGGCCTCTGTCCGTGCTGTTCCTGTCAGAGAACCTCGCCCAGCCCCTCTGCCAAGCGGCCCCGGCCCTCCCTCGCCCCTTCCATTTTCTTTGTGGAGATCGTGTTTGCCAAAAGGACCCTGTCCCTGTGCAAAATGCAGTGGTGCCCTCGCCAGGGCCTGAGGCTGCATCCCCCTGGCTGCGTCCACACGACCCAGTCCCATGTCTGGAGGCCGCGCACAGGCAGAGGAGAGAAGAAGAGCCCTCCCTGCGCGGTGTCTTCGCCCAGCGGCGCTGGTGGGGCTTTGCAACTCAGGGAGGGGTCTCCCCTCTGTTTCAGCCTGTGACGCTGGCCACTGGGGCCCAGACTGTGCGCACACGTGCAACTGCAGCAACAGCGATGGGAGCTGCGACATGAGGACTGGACAGTGCATTTGTGACGCCGGCTACACGGGACTCCGTTGTGATCAGAGTGAGTGTCGGCAGCGGGTCGGTCCGGCCCTTAGATTCCCGGCCAGAGCGCTCAACCTCGCTCAATTCTGCTGGCTTGGGTGGTAGGAAAAGGAGCTGACCTCGCAGCCCTGCCAAGTGAAGATCTCTGCTCGTCCACAGTGGTGAAGGAGCAGGTAGCAGCAGGGCAAACTTTCCCCTCCTGGCGCATTTATTGGGAAATGGAGCTGGTCCTTTTCCCCATACCCAGCCTCTTTGCTGCTCTTGTAGAGCCTCAGTGTTACAAACACCAGAGTTACCGCCTGACCGGTTAACCACATCCTTTATGTGGAACCAAAATAACACGATTGGGTAGCAGAGAAAAAAAAAAGGGAGGAAAGAAAAACAAAGTAAATACAGTTCAGTGCGATGTGAAACACAAACTTTAAAAAAAAAGAGAGGAAAGTTCAAAAAAAAAAAAAGATTTGATACGGCGAGGAAACTGATTTGGTGCTTGTTTCATTTACATTAAGATGTTCAAAGCAGCACTTTTCTTCTGCACAGTGAAGTTTCAAAGCCGCACTAAGTCAGTATTCTGGTGTAAACTGTTGAAAGAACAGCCAACATTTTGTTCAAAGTTACGAATGTTTATTCCCAAGGTGTTCATAACTCTGAGGTTCTGCTGAATGGAGCGCCCATCACGATGGGTGGTTTGGTGACGTGCACCTGTTCCCTAACCACCCGTCTGCTCCCACCAAACAGCTGTGCTGAATGGAGCGCCCATCACGATGGGTGGTTTGGTGACATGCACCTGTTCCCTAACCGCCCGCCTGCTCCCACCAAACAGCTTTCAGCCCGGCTTTCGTTCCCCGCTGCCCTCGCTCGGCTGGGTGCGCCCCAGTGGCCTAGCTTAGCTGTTTAAAGTCTCCCTGACTGGAAGGAGTCGCTGGCCAACATGGGTTTCTTGTATTTGCTAGAGTGTCCTGAAGGCAGGTTTGGGCTAAGCTGCCGACACCGGTGTCAGTGCGACAACGGAGCCGCCTGTGACCACGTCAGTGGGGCGTGTGCTTGCAGCCCTGGCTGGAGTGGGACGTTCTGTGAGCGTGGTGAGTATCCGGGGATTGCTCCATTAGGAGATGAAAGGAGCCTGCCGTGTCTACCGTAGTCTCCATGTCACTGGGATTTGTCCTACTGGAAATGTTGAAAAGAAGCCCCCAGCCAAGCTACAGAGAACAAGTCACTGTCCCAAGCTGGCCCCAGAGTGTGATTCTGGAGAGAACAGGTTCATACAAAGTAACTGAAGGTGCACGTCAGCAAGAGGTTATAGACACAGCCTGATGTTTGCACATACACACGGGTGGGTATGTTCTGGTCCCATGAAGGGTATCTGAATGTTGCCTGGTGCATGCATTTGAAAAGGATTGCACTGCACGGCCTGCTTCCCACGGAGACTGAAAGAGTCACAAAAGCCTAGTCAGAGGTAAGAAACCCCAGTATCCCACTCCACACAGGTTGGGCACTTTGGCTTTGGGGTAATGATCCAAAGTAACTAGGGGTCTAGAGATCACCAAATGAAATTAATAGGTAGCAGGTTTAAAACAAACAAAAGGATTTTTTTCTTCAGTCAGCGCACAGTCAACCTGTGGAACTCCCTGCCAGAGGAAGTTGTGAAGACCAGGACTTTAACAGGGTTCAAAAGAGAACTAGATACATTCATGGAGGTTAGGTCCATCAATGGCTATTAGCCAGGATGGGTAGGAATGGTGTCTCTAGTCTCTGTTGGTCAGAGACTGGAAATGGATGACAGGAGAGGGATCATTTAATGATTCCCTGTTCTGTTCACTCCCTTTGAGGCACTTGGCACTGGCCACCGTTGGCAGACAGGACACAGGGCTAAGTGGACCACTGGTCTGACCCAGTCTGGCTGTTCTTATGTATGCTCTTATCCAAATCAAGCTGATCACAGAACCTAGAAGATGAGAGTTGGAAGATACCTCAGGAGGCCATCTAGTCCAACCCCCTGGTCTAAGCAGGACCAGCCCCAACTAAATCACTAATGGGTGGCGAGTCCTCTCTGCAGCTGCGAGCCCCTTGGGGCAAGGACCATCTATGTCATTATGGCTGTGTCTACACTGCACCCCTTTTCCAGAAAAGGGATGCAGATGAGATAAGTCGGAATTGCAAATGAAGCGGGGGATTTAAATCTCCCTTGCTTCATTTGTATAAACATGGCTGCCGCTTCTTTCCGGCTTGGGGCTTTGCTGGAGAAAAGCGCCAGTCTAGACGGGATCTTTCGGAAAATAAAGCCTTTTCCGAAAGATCCCTTATTCCTCTTAAAATCAGGATTAAGGGATCTTTCGGAAAAGGCTTTATTTTCTGAAAGATCCTGTCTAGACTGGCTCTTTTCTCCGGCAAAGCCCCAAGCCGGAAAAAAGCGGCAGCCATGTTTATACAAATGAAGCGGGGGATATTT